TTCGTGCTGCCCCCACTGCCCCACGCTGCATGGGGGGCTCTGCACAAGCCCCCCGACCTCTCCCCCTTCCCCAGGCCCCTCACGGGTGCCCTGCCCGGGCTAGCTCTGACCCTCTAAGAACAAAAAAACCAAGAAAAGCCCCGCCACGTGGTGCAGGGCAGTGGGGGGCAGTGGGGATCTCCCTCTGCTGGCAGGAGCAGTAAGTCCTGGGTTTTTTTCGTTTTTTTGTCTTTTCTTAAAGGGCCAGAGCTGGGCCAGGTGGGGCACCCATGGGGGCGGAGCTGGGGGAGCAAGAGGGGCAGTCGGGGGGCTCGTGCAGAGCCCCCCACACAACGTGGGGCAGTGGAGGGCAGCAGGGATGGCCCCCCTGACTGGCAGCACCCCGTGAGCTGGGGCTTTTTTTTTTACAAGTGCTGGGAGCTGGGGCAGCCATTGCTGGGCTGGGAGAGGTGCGGGGAATGGGCCTCACCTGGCTGATCCAGAGATTCAGCAGCTCTCCGAATCAAATTTGGCTGAATCGAATTGGGACAGTGATTTGAATCACTGAATCAAATCGCTGTCCCCTGAATTGGACAAATCCAAATCTGAAGCGAATACTAGCAGCTTTGCATAGGCCTAATGCCGGGCCCTCCTTCCTTCAGCCCATCTGGCCTTCCAGGTCTGTGAATGAACTGCCTGTGTTTTTGCCCAGACGTCCCTCTCCAGCTGGGGGATTGTGTCTTTCTGGCAGGGTGGGGGTCAGGGCATTGCACTCTTCCTTAAATCTCTTGCATACATTTTAACAATCCTTGGAACAGTGGGATAATGACAGCCCCGATAACCCTGCTTTACCTGTGGCTGGTTTGTGTGCTTTTGCTGAGGGAAAATACCTTTTCTCTCTTGCTGCAGAGAGGAAGCTTTAAGCCACTGGTATGTGTCTTCCTCTCTGCAGCAAGAGAGAAAAGGTATTTTCCCTCTTCTTTATGACAGCACTTCAGGTACTTGAAGGCTGATGTCATGTCCCCTCTTTAGCACCTTTTCCATAAGCTGAACATGCCTAGCTCCTTAAATCTCATTTCATGTGACTTGCCTTCCAAGCCCTTTATCATCTTTCTTGCCTCTGGACCCTTACCATCTAGCATGGCCATGCATAGGAAGTACAGACCAATTAGCATGTCCCTCTGTCTTGCACTGGAAGTCCCTGTGTTTGAAATTAGGCCCCAACTGAAAGTTACTTTCAGTTCAGACCTGCTCCTTGGTGGAGACGCATGGGTAAACATCCATTGCACCCCTGGGAGCTGAAGACCCAGACACCACCTGGACACCACTGAACCCCCAGCGCAGAGACAGAAGTTAAGGGAACCAGGGGCAAGGAGAAGGTGGGCAAGCGCAGGGGTGCTCAGAGGGTGTGTGTGTGTGTGTGTGTGTGTGTGTGTGCGTGTGTGTGCGCGCATGTGTGTGAGTGTGGGGGCCATGCCTGGCAGGACACGCCAGCTGATTGGGACAAGGGAGGGGGATGCTTCCTCCCCCCACAGGTCCCTACTTAGCTGAGGCCCCCAGCGAGCCTCGTGACCTGAGCTACGTGAACAGAGCGCACAAACAGGTGCAGCTCTTCTCGGGCCCGGCAGTTAGTGTGGGAGTTCGCGCAGAGGGGCATGTGGAAGGTGCCCAGAGGGCTGGGCTGAGTGAGGAGCCTGAGGCCTTAAGCCTGAAGTGAAGCTACTGGGACCAGGTAGGGGGGTGGACTTGCTCTCAGCCATGGTAGAGACTCGTGCCTGCAGGCTTCCCAGAACCGCCAAGGTCTCCACCCAGACAGAGCCCCTGGCTCTGGGCTGTGGGGGCTGCGTAGCACAGCTGCTGGCAGCTGGGCAAGGGGGCACCCCCACTTGTGGGATGTGCTCCCTAGCTTAGTCTCTGGAGGGCAGGGTGCCGGAGCTCGAGGAGGAGGTACATCAGCTACGCACCATCAGGGCCCACAAAGACTACATTGATTGGTACTGCCAGGCTGTGGAACTCACCAGCTCCTGCAGCAGCCTCAGGGCTTCAGGAGGTCATTCAGAGCCCCCCATATGGCACGGGGCAGTGGGGGGCAGCAGGGATCACCCCCTGGTGGGCAGGAACCCTGAGTCCGGGGTTTTTGCGGGGGGGAGTTCTTAAAGGGCTGGAGCTGGGGTGGGCGGGGCAGTCATGGGGTGGTTGGGAGAGTGAGGGGGGGTTCGAGGGATCGTGGCAGAGCCCCCCATGCAGCATGGGGAAGTGGAGGGCAGCAGGGATTGCCCCCTCCTGCCCAGCAGCACCTGATGAGTAGGGTTTTGTTTTTTTAAAGCACTGGGAGCTGGGGCGGGTAAGGCAGCCATGGGGGGGCTGGGGGAACAGGCAGGGGATGGGGCCTGGCAGGGGGCCCCTCCCTACTTACTAACCCCAAGTCCGACTCCAGCCCCCTGCTACAGAGGGCAGGGACTGTTCGAATCGATTCGGACCTTCTAATTGGTCCCCTGATTTGATTTGGATTCAGAGATTCGGCCACCGAATCAGGCCGAATCTCCTCTGAATTGAATCAGCACCCAAAGCTTTGCACAGCCCTAGTGGCCAACAAGAAGGCTGGCCAAAAAGACTCACCCAGAGCTACCTGGAAGATGGTCATCTCAGGCTGCAGGACATGCAGGGCTGAAGAGCCACTCTTGCAAGAGCTGAGGGTGTGGTTCTCCCAAAGTGTGACAGGAAATCGAGGGTCTCAATTGGAGGACTCAGGTGTCTGTTTACTAATGCCAGGAGCATGGGGAACAAGCAGGAGGAGCTAGCTCTCCTACTTTCCACTGGGCATTACGATCTAGTAGGGATTACGGAGACCTGGTGGGACTCCTCACATGATTGGAACATAGCCATTGAGGGCTACACCCTGCACAGAAGGGACCAAGTAGGGAAGAAAGGTGGCGGTGTAGCTCTCTATGTGAGGGAGCAGTACACCTCCTTGGAGGCCAGCATTGGCTCCAAAGATGAGCAGCTCGAAACCCTCTGGGTCAAACTATGCAGGGGACGCAATGAGAGAGACCTAACTGTAGGTGTATACGACAGACCACCAAACCAGGGGGAGGAGCTTGATCTGGAGTTCTCTTAAGAACTGGCAGAGGCCGTGCATGTACAGGACTTGGTCATCATGGGTGACTTCAATTACCCAGACATCTCTTGGGATGAACACTTGGCTAAGTCAGATCGGTCGTGTTGCTTCCTGACCTGTATTGAAGAGCTGTACCTGACTCAGGAAGTGCACAGGCCAACCAGAGGTAATGCTCTCCTAGACTTGGTCTTGACCAAAGGAGGTGATCTGGTGAGTGACTTGAATATAGAGGGCAGCCTGGGTGACAGCTACCACAAAACCATCATGTTCGCTGTCCATTACAAGATAGGAAAATCAGCTATCAGGTTTGAAGTTTTGGACTTCAAGCGAATTTCAACAGGCTCAGAGTAATAGTAGGGGAAGCACTGCAGAACCAGGGACTGAAGGTGAAAGGAGTGCATGAAGAGTGGTCGTTCCTCAAGGACACGATCCTCGAAGAACAAAAGATGTCCATTCCCATGTGGAAGAAAGGTAGCAGAAGGGCTGGGAAGCCCTCTTGGCTTAATAGGGATATCATGGTCCTCCTGAAAAAGAAGAAAGAGGCATACAAATGTGTTGGACTTACCGATGCAGCCTGGCCCACCCAGGCTTGGAGAATCTCTGTTGTGATTGGTGGAGCACATCCACCAATCAGGTGAATGCTTGGAGGGGCTTACCCTGCCCCTTGCCCCCTGCCCCCTGCCCCCTGCCCCCTGCCCAGGGCAGGGAGCAGGGTGCAAAGAGCCCCGGACCTGTAGTTTCATAGTTTCATAGTTGGTGGGATCGGAAGGGACCTTAGCAGATCATCAAGTCCGACCCCCATGGCAGGAAAGAATGCTGGGGTCAAAGGCCCCCGGCTAGGTGTCTATCTAGCCTCTTTTTGAAGACCCCCAGGGTAGGAGCCAGCACCACTTCCCTTGGAAGTTGGTTGAGGGTCGTACCTGCCCTGACTGTGAAGGAGTGCCTCCTGATGTCTAGTCTGAATCTACCCTCTGCCAGCTTGTGACCATTATTTCTAATCACTCCTGGTAGTGCTCGGGGGAACAGGGA